GGACATGGAGGCCCTCTGTTCAGTCACTCATGGCTGATCATCTCCCAATTGGACTATTGCAGGGTCTCAAACTCTCAGTGTCATGTTGTCATCACATATCATGACTTCCCCCCTCTTTGCTAAACCGGGAGTGGGTTTGGCCAGCACGTGATGCATTTGGCCCATGGGTCGCACATTTGACACCCCTGGACTATTGCAGCAGGCTTTACATGGGGCCACCCTCAAAAAGTATCTGGAAGCATCAGAGATACAGAATGCAAACTGGGTGTCCAAAAAAGGGCACATATAACACTTTTATTATATGTCTTGAACTGCACTGGACGCCAGTTTGCTTCTGGGTCCAATTCAAGGTGTTGATCATCATCTATAAAGCCCTATGTGACATAGAGTCAGGTTACCTATAGAACCAGCTTTGCCCCACCACTCAGCCTGTCCCAGTGGTTCAGGTTGGAAAGATATGATGCAGAGCCTGTCAGTCAAATAATTTTGACAGGCAAAGTCTAGAAAGAGGGCCTTCTCTGCCACTGCACCAACATTGTGGAACATCTTGCCATCAGAAGTGAGGAAGCCCCAATCTCTTGGCCTTCTGTAAAGGAGTCAAAATGCCCTTGCTTGGGGCTGGCCAACTGCATGAGAAACCTCCATTATCAACAACTGCTAACTCCTCATCTTGGAATGTTTTACCTATTGAAATTTTATGTTATTTTTATGATTTTAAAACTTTTTAATCTTAAATAATTCGAGTTTTGATGTTAATTTAATTGATTATATTGTACACCACCCAGAGCCTCTCTCTGAGGGAGATGAGTGGTTAAGAAATAGGAAATATAAATATCTGTTCTATTAATCCATATATTTATGTTGGTTTATTGATAGATTTTAATGTGCTTTTATTGTTGCTGTAAGACAATCTATGACCCTGACAACAAGATGGCATGTTTTGATTGATATTAAAATATATATTTGGTAGATGGGTGTGAGACAGCAGGCTACCCAGAAAATTGCCAGCACCTGTGCTGCTTTTGGATTGTCTTTTTAATCCCTCTTCTCTGTGTCAGCACAGCAAAATTGACTATAAGATTATGTCATTTTAACCTGAAAGTGTGGTGAAGCATAGTAGGCAAGCAACCTAAAGCAAGAGATGTTTTTCTCTAGCAGTATTCATAAGAAGTAGTACTATTCACAAGGAGCACTAATAGGAGTGGTGGTTGTGAGAAAGAGTGAGTAATAGTATGTGATTGCTTGTATATGTTGTCTAGGGACTTCTGCTATTAGCTCTTTTGTATCTTGGGCCCACTAAATTGGGTATTGTTTAAAAGAACCTGTGACAAAGATATTTCAGTATTGATTCACTTAATCTCAGGATTTATATTATGAAATTTGAAGTGATATTTCTGGAAACAAAGAAAAACAATATTAATAAGCAATTGCTAATGTTTTCAGCAACATTGTCAACAAGTGGGCCAGAAAGATCACCTACAAATTACTGGCTTCGTACATTTTTTTCCTTCTCAAACTGTTCTCATATACTTTATGGTTACAGCTGATGATATACAGTCAATGTTACTATTATAGTGATAGCCGAATCAAAGTACTATAAGAAGACGATGAAGAAAAAAAACAAGCCTGATATTTTTGGAAAGAAGCTAATGGCCTAGTTTTACTTGGTGACTCTAGGCAGATGATTGACATTGGAGTAAATGGTGACCTGCTTAGAGTAGTTTAGTGTGTCAACTGCCACCTAGCTTTATGTCACTGGCATATAATGAAACTGACTAAGGTCACAGTTAACCTAGAAAAAGTCATCAGGATGAAATTATATTTTTACATTGACTACTTTTCACATAAATGTAAATATTCGCTGGAAATTTGATATGAAAGATTGTGCAGGGTTTTTTATAGTATCAGGGAAGATTAACGGCTGAAGTTGTATAGTATGTATTTGAGGTTTGTGTAATTGAATGCCTTGATTTGATCTTAAAGTCTCTTGCAAATGAGGTTTCTTTTCTCCAGTAATGCATAATTCAAAAGATGAGTCTTGTTTCCTCTTGAAAAACAATTTTGCCTCAGTAAAATACAAAATATAGAAAATATGGTTTTAGCAGGCAATGTCTGCAGAGAGCTGCTTCTAATAGGCAACAGTAAATATATCTATTTTGATTAATAAAATTAGACTGAATTTGATAGGTTAAATTTGCCCTGTAGAGACCAATTTTGCAATTGGTCTGTGTTTTATTCTGTGTATTCAATATAAAGATATTTTAAAAATCAAATTGGATTTTTCACGAGAGCTTAATTCTTATGATGGGAAAGTGTTGATTTTCTAATTATGCATAAACAAGACTATTGCATATTTCATCCCAGAAAAAACTTTTTTTTTTTAAAAAAAAAACTAGTTTATAGGATTTTAAAAATACATTTAAATCTTTCAATTTATGTGAATTATGGGACAGCAACTAAATACCAGTTCTATGCCAGTAAGAAATGATATTACATTATTATAATACGTTGATATATAAAAGATAAGTTTCATATGTATATTAGTAAAACAGGTATTACAGATTATAGAGGAAGGGTGCATAGAAGTTTGCCTTTGCTTATATTGCTTATAGTAAAGTGCAATAAATTGTGGTTTTTGAATGGTAGAAAACATTTCTGTTCACATATTTAGTTTCCTATATACTTGCACGTCTCCCATAGTGATTTATGAATTAGCTTGCAACAGATTGAATTATTGTTGGTTTGCTGCTAATTTTGCTTAACAGAAAGAATGAATTTAAAGTAAACACTACAATTAATAATACCCCGTTTCCCCGAAAATAAGACATCCCCTGATAATATGTCCAATCAGGCTTTTGAGCGCATGGCAATAAGGCCAAGCGCTTATTTCAGGGTTCAAAAAAAATATAAGACAGGGTCTTATTTCTGGGGAAACACGGTATTATTTTCATAAGAAAGAATTCTTAAACTTGCGTTTTCAAGAAGGAAAATAGGTGTTTTCAGAAATAACATGATGGTGACGTACAGCTATGAGATAGTAAGCTCATATATTACAGAGACAGAGGTCATAGGAAAACCTAAACACAGTAAAAAGAGTTAGAAGAGAAAGAGAACTGATCTGATCTGATCTGAGATAGGAAGAAAGAACCAGAAAAGAGAAGATTAAAGCCGAATAGTTAAGCCAGAGCGCTGGCAGAGTTGAAAGTTTGGAGTACAGTAATTTTTTAGCAGCAGCATCAGTAACAACACTAGCAATACTGTGTTGACCAGCTAGCATCGGTAGCAAATTTGCCCACTTAGCAAAATGAGGTTCACAAAGGTCCCAATGGCAGCATAAGCAAATTCAACCAGTTGTATTACTTGCTTAATGCATGTGAGGGCACATTTAAGGCCTGATAATGGGAATATCATTATTTCCTATACAAAGGAAAAGGTAGCAAGGCAGAATAAAAAAAAATTACAAAGAACTAAATTACAAAGAAACATTTAGTGATTTTGGCATTCAGTTTTTGGCTGAATTATCATCAAGAATTCGAGACAGAACAATAAGTAAAATTTGGCAAGGGATCCTTCTAATCTTAGGCAGGAGGCTGTTCCAAAGTGCTGGAGTGGCCACTGAAAAGGTGCATGTCCAAGGTCCTATCAGGTGGCAACCTTTAAGCATGGAAACCTGGAATGTGCCAACCTAATGTAAACTAAGAGTGACGGAGATAATCTCAAGATGTCATGGTCCTGCAAGTAAACTGACCCTGTGCCATGTAGGGCTTTAAAGATGATAACCAGCTCCCTGAATTATACCCAAAATTAACTAAGAGCCAGTGCAGTTTATTCAGCGTTATTGCTAGGGTGAACTACGGACAGACAAAACCGTAAATTCCAGTCTATTCTGATCCAGCTACAGATTCCACTTGGTCTTCAAGGCCAGCCCCATGTAGATCAAGTTGCAATAATCTGAACAGGAGGTAACTATGTCACAGAAAGCTATCCATGAAATAGCTTGATGCTCAGTAGTAAGAATGGGACTGGGGGAGAGAAAATCAGAGTATGTGAAAGCCCCCAGTAATGAACATTTTTTCTCTTTTTAAGGAACAGCTGAAGTTATATACCTCAATGATTTGTGTCCTTAGATAAATGTGCAGTGCAGAGAGAGCATCAAAGCATCGCACACCCTGGATTTTAGAAGAGTTAATTTCCAAACTTTTAGAGAGCTACGATCCAGGATCCCATATACAAAATAAACAGATCTAAGTGAAATTAGAAGAGTTAGAAACTACTTAAAATAAAGATACTTAAAGTACAATTATATACCATTAAAAAAAAGAAAAAAAAAAGAAAAATATATTTTTTGGAAATTATTGTGAATGTATAGGGAGTTTGGGACTGAGTTTTGTATTAAATATATAAATATATGTGAAATAGATGGTGGAGGTAATTTGCAAGGATTAGGAGCTTTACCAGCAAGTATCTAATATCTGCAGAAAACAAATTAGGAAAACTAAAGTGGAAAACTCCAAAGCAGATTCTAGAAAACAAGGCCTGGATGACTATTAAAATAAGGGAATGTTCAAATGGACCTAGATAAAACAGTTGACAAAAGGACAGAGTGGCAATCCAAAATAAATATGGACAGAAATACAGAGATAAAATAAATAGGAACAATGTGCCAGGTACACATTGTTTCAACAGGGTATGAATTAGAAAGCTTGGTGTTTATTAGCCCCTAAGTATTATAATACTAATTCAGTTTCCTGGGACCAATACTGTTACAGTAAACTGAATCTTAGTGAACAAATATACTTGATAATCTCCATGTGATGCAAAGTAAATTGAAGAATTACTTGTCTGCTCTAATTCAGCAAATATTACAAGGGATTGTATGTTTTCCTCTATATGGGATTAATGCATGAAATATTAGTGTACAAGAGGGGAGATTATGGTAAATTAAGAATTACTGTTTGGTTGCAAATAAAACAGTGCACTCAATAGATTAGGACTACAAATTCAATGCATTTTTTCATTTATTCAAATTTTCTGCAGGAAGTAAACACTGAGAATTTAAAAAATTTCACACTGCCATATGTACAGTTTTGCGACATTACATGAATAAGTCATGTCTTAATAAAATGAGAATTTTTATTTTTTTTAATCAGTGAAAACTTCACAACAAAAAAGGCTGTATAAATTCCATAATTTGTATCTATGTCAATGCAAAACAAGGTTACATTATCTGAAAATACTGCAATAGAATTTCAGTGGCTTTAAATGGAATTAAAAACATAAACAATATTTGTGATTGGGGGCAAGAGAGGATATTTTTGTTTTAAAGAAGGTAGTTCTTTTTCCCCAGGCTCTTTCCTTTGAAGCACATTCTTTTACAAAGCTGAAATACCATAGCAGAAGTCATGTTCAGAAACAGAATACAGTGATGTTGGATAATCTGGTTTTAACAATTTTTGCCATTGCAGAGATGCACAGGGTCCCCCATGCATTTATCATGCAGCAATAATTACAATTTTAAATAAAACATTTCTATACATTCCTCCAGACTTGCACTGTATACATACATGCAAAATGTTAAACCTATGCAATAATATTTACATTTATTAATACATGGAATATACAGAACAAAATGATCAAAATGTTAATTTCTTTCCATTTGATATAATACAAAATATGTATTTTAAAGAAAACACTATTTACATCACAGTTTTTAGAAAAAAAATTAAACATGTTAAGAAGTCTACATATTTACATATGTATACATATATATAGATATAGATATAAAATATAACTTGCCAGTTTACTCAACTAAGATGCAGCAGAGAATTAACTGGTAATATTTTGCTCTCATTAGTGACAGTCCAGGGGGAAATGAAATATCAACAAAAAATTAAACACTTATTTCTTGTTATAGAAAAACATAAAGGTGGTTGAGCACACCTCAAAAATCAAGTATTTCTGATCTTGAGAAATTACAGTAGATTTCTGCTATTCATTAGATCAGCCTGGCCCTGAAAAAAAGGTGGTATTGCATTGAAACTCAGATTTCTTAAAGAAGTACATCTCTTTTCAGATTCACTTGGAAAACCTGAAAAAAGATTTGCCTATTTAGTGAATAAATGGAGGTGCTGCACTTGTGCAAAATCTGAGCAGTACTTATTTGCAGGTAAGCATGTATGTGATTCAGTTGTGCAAACCAAGATTATGAATAGTTACTTGGAAGTAAGCCCTATTATATTCATGGTGTCACAGCCAAGTGTGGAAAATAAAACATTTTTCCTAGTAAAATAGAATAAAAAATGTTGGGGATATCTCAATTTCTGTTTGCTTTTATATGATGGAAGAATGAGATAAATATTACTTATTACTTTTGTATTTTATGCTTTTGTATATATTTTATGCTTTTGTAACTGAATTTACGGAGGATTAGAGATCCAGATAGGATCCAAAAAAGAAATAAAAATAAAGAAACAGGAGTGGATAAACCCTAATTCCTAAAATAACTTTTAAAGTCAATTTACTGCTTTTTGTTTTTTAGCTCTCAGCCCTGAGGTCAGGGCTGAAAGTAAAGCACTTGTAGGAATATGTGCTTTTTCTTCAAATCAAACCTTTCTCTTCACTTAGCATCTAAATACTTAACTGCATTACACAAAACAAGTTCAGGCATGTGATCTACATAATTTAATTTTGATGCAATTCTAAGTTTTGCTCTGTCAAGGAAGTAAATTTAATTTAATTTAATTTAATTTAATATTTAAATTTATATACCGTCCTTCTCCTGAAGGACTCAGGGCGGTGAACAGCCAGAAGTAAAAAACATCAAATACAAAATATAAAAACAATTTAAAAATGAATTAAACAATTTGGCCCGACAGTTAAAATCCCCCATTAAAAATCCAAATTAAAATACACAATTGGAGAGATTAGGCCAGACTGACTTGATGAAATAAAAAGGTTTTGAGGGCCCGACGGAAAGTACGTAAGTCTGGAATCATCCGTATCTCCGGGGGGAGTGTGTTCCAGAGGGCAGGTGCTCCCACAGAGAAAGCTCTCCCCCTGGGGGCCGCCAGTCGGCATTGCTTGGCTGACAGCACCCGGAGGAGCCCCTCTCTGTGGGAGCGTACTGGCCGGTGGGAGGCTCTCGGTGGCAGAAGGCGGTCCTGTAAATATCCTGGCCCTAAGCCATGGAGCGCTCTAAAGGTGGTCACCAACACCTTGAATCGCACCCGGAGGATCACCGGAAGCCAATGCAGTTCACGCAGGGGAGGTTTTACATGGGAGCGCCATGACATGGGAGCTCCCATAATCACTTGCGCGGCCACATTCTGGACCAGCTGGAGCCTCCGGGTGCTCCTCAAGGGGAGCCCCATGTAGAAAGCATTGCAGTAGTCCAGGCGGGAAATGACGAGGGCATGAGTGACCGTGCGTAAGGAGTCCCGATCCAGAAAGGGATGCAACTGGCGAATCAGGCGAACCTGATAAAAAGCCCCCCTGGCCACGGCCATCACATGTTCTTCTAAAGACAGCCGTGCATCCAGGAGGACACCCAAGTTGCGAGCCCTCTCTGTGGGGGCCAGCGACTCGCCCCCAATAGTCAGAGATGGCACCAACTGACTATATTGGGATGCCGGAAGCCACAGCCACTTGGTCTTGGATGGGTTGAGCCTGTTTCTCCCCATCCAGATCCGTACGGCCACCAGGACATCACATCAAGAGCATCATTGGGGTGGTCCAGGGTAGAGATGTACAGCTGAGTGTCATCAGCATACTGATGGTACTTCACCCCGAAACCACGGATGATCTTACCCAGCAGCTTCACATAAATGTTGAACAGAAGGGGCGAGAGAACCAACCCCTGCGGCACCCCACATACATGGAACCTCGGGGTCGACCTCTGGCTCCCCATCAACACAAACTGCGACCGGTCAGAGAGGAAGGAGAACCACCACAACACAGTGACCCCCACACCTAACCCCTCCAACCGGTGCAGCATGATACCATGGTCGATGGTATCAAAAGCCGCTGAGAGATCTAACAGGACCAGGACAGAGGAACAGCCCTTGTCCCAAGCCCTCCAGAGATCATCAACCAATGCGACCAATGCCGTTTCCGTGCTGTGCCTAGGCCTGAGCCCGACTGGAACGGATCGAGATAGACTGCTTCATCCAGGTACTGGGGGAATTCGCACCACCACACTCTCAACAACCTTCGCCACAAAGTGAAGGTTGGAGACTGGATGATAATTTGCTAAAACAGCCAGGTCCAAGGAGGGCTTCTTGAGGAGAGGCCTCACCACCGCCTCTTTCAAGGAAGTGGGAAAGTAGCCCTCTCTCAAAGAAGCGTTAACAACCCCTTGGAGCCAGCCTCGTGTAACCTCCCGGGAAGCCAGCACCAGCCAGGAGGGACACAGGTCCAATAAACATGTGGCCGCGCTAAGTTTACCCAGAATCCTGTCCATGTCTTCAGGGGCACTAGGTCAAACTCCTCCCAGATAACACTCTCAAGACCTGTCTCCATCACCCCGCCTTTATCTACCCAGAGTCCACGCCTTCCCGAATTTGAACGACTTTGTCAGGCAGATACTTTGCCGTTTTTATCGCCACTAGGTAGGTCTTAATATGAGACCTTACCAGTGTTCGGTCGGATTAGGAAAGGCTAGCCCTCCAACTGCTCTCTAGGCGTCTTTTCCGGCTCTTCATCTCCCTCAGCTCCTCAGAGAACCAGGGAGCTAAGTGAGATCGGCGGCAGGTCAGAGGCTGCAAAGGCACGACATGGTCCAAAGCTCCAGCGGCCACTCTATCCCAGGCGGCCACCAGGTCTTCAGACGGGTCGTGAGCCAGAGCCTCAGGGAATGGCCCAAGCTCCGTCTGGAACCTACCAGGATCCATCAGGCGCCTGGGGCAGAACCACCTCGTCGGTTCTGCCTCCCTGCAGTGGGGTGTAGCGGTTTGAAGGTCAAGTTGAAGGAGAGAATGGTCAGACCATGACAAGGGTTTAATCACTACATCCCCCATATCTAAACCATTCAGCCACTGGCCAGAGATGAAAATCAAGTCCAGAGTGTGTCCCTCTATGTGTGTAGGGCCATGAACTAACTGGGTCAGGTCCATGGCCATCATGGAAGCCATGAACTCCCGAGCCGCCTCAGACATTTCACCGACGGTCGGCAGGTTGAAATCCCCCATAACCATAAGTCTGGTGTTGAGTTGAGTTGAGACATTAAATGTGGTATTTTGAGGTTTGCAGTTTAAATATTTCTAATTTTAGAAATATTTAGAAATGTCTAATATAAAATACTAATAATGCAATGCTAACTAATGATCATTATCAAAATAATACATGTGTGTGAGGTGCTGAAGTGGCAAGAAGTGCAAAGCAACTAAAGTATTATTAAAAACAATGCAAAAAAGGTTTTAGCCAGATTGTCATGCCTATTTGTTTGAGACCCAATAAACCAGTCAAGCCCATTAAACATGATCTCAAATATAACTTAATAGTTGAAAATTGACATTCTATATTAAAATGGCTGATTCTAAATGCTGTAAGGCAAAGTAACACATAAAAAACTGCTTCCCAACTGTATTTGAATAAAATCTTCTGAATTCAAAAGAAGTTATATTTGAGAATACATTATAAGATTGCACTATAATCGTGCATTAATTCATGTCTATTGAAACTTCTAAATCGTTCTATACATGAACAATTCCATGCATAGAAAATTCATTTTTGGTTATGTTTCACCTAGGCCAAAGTATGTATTGTTGAAAGTGGGAGAGAAGAGCCAATGGGCAAAAGCAAAAGACATTAAATTGAGAATAGCTAGAAAATATAAAGGAACAGCTTGGGAATACAGAGTAGGTAGGCAGGGGCACAGCTGTTGCCAATATCTTTGACCCAAAGATATTGGGTTTGCCTTTTCAAAAGGCAAGTGGACTTTGTTTTTTCTTGAAGTTTTGCTTCTCATCCAAGAAATTTCTTTAGTCTTCAACAAAACATCAAGAAAAACATTAAGTCCAGTTGCCTTTTGAAAAAGCACCTTTGGAACAAACATGACTGAGCATCTCCATAGATCGATATCCTTGAGTTCAACTCTGCCTATTCATTTAGTATGCCCACCCTCTGAATCTTCCCAGATCATCCTTTCACTAGCTCTCTTTAACTGCTACTGATGTACTTGCCTTCAAGCATAGCATAATGAGAACTAGAGAAAAGATGCTATAGGGAAGATTGGTAAATGACCTGCTGTACAGGGCATGTAGAAGATAAAGGAGAAATGTATTATTCCTCTTGTAAGAGACTTCCAGTCTTCAGTTTTGATGAAATCTACAACAACCAAAATATCCTGGGTTTCAGTTCTGCTGAATCACAACCACCTGTAATAATTCAGCAGAACTTCCAAGGCACAATGTATTTGTTCCATTTAATAACAAAACACATTGTCCATGTTTTACACACACAATAAACAATTTAATTTGATTGGGGTTTTTCCCCCACCTATAATGAGCATAGGACTTGAACTTCAATATTACACTTAGGAATTGAAGCAAGACTTATAATTTGCTGCTACTGCTATGGGTCATGTAATAGCTGTAATGAGGGTTAGGTGAAATTATGAAAATAAAGTTACTGATAGCACCTGGATATTATGCTAACTTCTCAAGGAATAATGGCAGTTTCTGGGAAACAATTGAATGATGTTATGCTATTTACATTTTATTCGTAATTATTTGATGGTATTCTGATTATTGTGGAAATAAATTTCTGGATTTTCAATTAGAGTAGCCTTCTCATTTACTCTCAGCATAACCTTTCAGGGTTGTTTTTTTTCCAGTTAAAATGTTATATATCCAATGATACGTACCTTTTTATATAAAAGTTTAGTCTGCCAATAATAATTATTACACACATATTTTCAACATAGCTGAACTTGCTGAGCTGACCTGCACTAGACTTGGCTTTTTGTCAAATGCAATTATACCCAAACCTGTGGAAGACTTGAATTGATCTGGATTTAATCATAATAAAATTTATATGCAAAAATTATATATAAAAGTACCAGTCTTGATATTTCAAAATCATATAGAATTTTAAACAATCCACCATTTTATTGGAACTAATCTAAATTTAAAAGTTATTTTTATTTAGCATTGTAATATGTTTAACATGTATTTCATGCCTAGAGGAATAAATTAAACCAGCAATTTTGAGGATAATACATTTATTAATGATGTTTCTTGCCACTTTCCCCTCTAGGTATCTGGAATTTCATGAATCAATAAAATAACATCTTTCACACTAGTAGATGCTTAGTTTATTTACTTTACAATATCTTCCAATTCTACATTCAAATTTAGAGTTTATTTATTTTAAGGCATTTAAATATTTAGATCATTAAGTTCTTCCAATTTACAATTCCTTTCTTACTGCTAGGATAGAAAAAGTTTAGAAATGATCATGAACTGGTTTAGATCATTTGGTAATTTATACATCTTTCATCTTAGCTATATAAATCTTTTATAGAATTCATGAAAAAAAGACCACAATGATAGATTGACTATCACAATTTTTTTTCTTTTTTTAAGCATGAGTCTGGAATCTTTCAGCTTTATTAATATGTTAATTTCCCTGGAAAATTTGAATAAATGTAAATAAATAAACAATTAAAAGTAGTGAAAGATTTATATTTTACTGCCAGTAATTTATGATTCAGCTTCATTATTTTTTTAAAGTCACAACCTAGATTTTAATTTATTTCAGCTGAGTATCTAGAAAAGGTAACTAAAGAAAAGACAGTATTTCTTGTGGTTCTGTCCAATTATGCAAACACAAATTACAAGCCATTTGGAAGCACTAGAAATTTCATTGTGTACAATTCTCTAGTTAACACTGATAAGTATTACAAAAACAAGAAATAAATGACTTGGCCTGGATGATGATCCATTTATATATATAAAAATATTCTTCACATTTTATAAATGAGCAGACAATACAAGATGGTAGTAGCCCAGTTGTGAGAGAAGAGAAAATATATGTTGAAGATGCCCTTCTACCTTATATTTAAATAATACTGCATTACATGCGTAACAACAGTATCTCCAAATGTTCCTGTTTTACATATCTTACTACAGTTGCTTTTGTCTCTATAGTTTTCCTACACTCCTCCAGGTACATGTGATCCTCCAAATCACATACAGCTTTTTGAAGTGTCTGTGATTTATCACTTTCATGGTTTTGAAACATGTAAGGAAAATATTATGGGTTTACATAAGCACATAGTTATGTGCAAGGACAGTAATAGCAGTTACTCACTGAGTACAATCCAGCTGCAAATTACTCATGGACATTTATATAATTAACAAGTCGTGATGACATGTATTGTGATAAATTTCCAGTAAAGCAAAAATAAAGAACAAAAGCTGTATGCATCTTAAATATCAGCAAAAAAACCTCATCAAATAAAACCATAGCTATACCATGCTCTTCTCAAATCATGCTAGATTTACATTATTTTATTCAAATAAAATATTCAAACTTGATTGTAAACTCTTTGTAAGATTTTAACCTATTCAGGTTCTTTTTTTATTGTTAATACCTTTTCTAAGAGTCCATATACTTCTCTGTTGTGTTGAATGGACACCCTATTATTTGAATGGCTGCTGTATGCATTTCTTCTATTAGGAAATGTTTTACATTCTCTGACAGGAGACAACTCTTTCTTCATTGTGACAGATGAATTTTCTATAAATGATTTATCTCTCCAAGCATCTTTGCTATGGGTTTCCTGAATATTAATAGGGTTTCCCCCCTTTTGTAACATGTAATATAATATTGGATTAGTTTGGGTCAGTCTTGGGGAGTCTCTCTCAAGGTCATTTTTGTCAGAATCAGTGATGACCCATTTTAGAGGTCCCCTTTCATTAGGTATATGACAAATGCTAAACTGGTCACATTCTGGCTTTGATGATACTGTGCCTCCCAAATGTTCAGTGAAGGGAGAGCTGGCAGGACTCTTCATAGCAACTGAATATTGAAATGTCTGGTAGTCCAAGCAATTGCTTGGTTGTCCGGGGTTCCCTATGAGAGTATGCACAGGAGAAACATTGAATTCAGCCTTGTCATTATTTGTTAGGTTATGTTTGCTTCCTTTCTTTTTGCCATCTGTTACTAATAAATTATTTCTATGCTGAGACATATCTTTTTCACAATTTTCTGATAGAAGCAGTTGTTTTAGCACATTAAATCCTTTACTTTCTCTAGACCAACTTCTGTTTTCACTTTCATTATTTGACCCATAACCTGAAGAATATTTTATTTCAAAATCAGTTTTGATGAATTTAGATTCTTTTTGGTTAAGACAGCTGCCATACAAAGAATCTGTAGTAGACTTGTGATTGTTTGTGACATCAGATATTCTACATTTATTACTTTTTAGTATTTTTAAAGGACCTTCTAAAGAATCAGAATGCAATTTTCTCTTTTTGGGGAGCATACTGTGATTTTTTGATTCCACAAAACTCTGTTCATGGTTTGTCCTGTCCAGGATATCTGCAGAGCAGCCATCTTGACTCTGTCTCAGCAATCGACTTAGAAGTCCATTCTTCGAAAAGGAAAAGTCTTGAGATGTAAGAGACTGGGACTGAAATTCTTCTGATGCTGGAGAAATAGCTATATTTCTCTCTAAAGAATGAGCCATTTCCGGAAATTTCTTATTAACATTTTCAGTTATTTGTTGAGCATTTGAATTCTGAAGGGCACTGGATTCTTCCTCAGAAGGCTCAGCTTTTATTTTTACAGTTAGTATTTGTTCATTCAAAACTTTTTCTGTTGGATCTTGTAAACTCTCTTCTTTTAAAAATATTTTTTCCTTTGTTTCATTCATATTTTTGTTGGCGGTTCCCAGAAGTAACTGGAGCACGGTGCGTCGTTCTAGCAGATTTTGGATTTCTGAACTGGGCAGTTTTTGTTCTCCTGGGAGAAACTGATTAGTGAGCATTCTGTTTTTTTCAAGTGTACATGATGTGTTATGAAGCAGGGAAGTATTTAGTCCATCTATCAATCCTACTGGTTTCTCAGTGTTAAGAGTCATCACTTGTTTGCTTGCTTGTCTTTGGTTATCCACTGACATGGAAGACTGCATCCCACATTGAGCTAAGTTTTGCAATAGTTTACTTGCACTGAAAGATGAAGGTGTTTGTAAAGTTTCTTTTTTATTCTGTTTACTTCCATGAAGTTCTTTGTGAATAGTAAGATCTATCAAGTGCTTAGAAGCTGGATTAGTTAGTCTCTCAGGCTGTATGATGCAAGTATATGGCGGAGAATTACATTTTATCATTAAAGGAGAATTGTGTGAAAGGTTGATAGGTGAATCTGCTTTTGTAGAAGTTTGCAAAGGAGGAGTATGTATTGGAATTATTCGATTAGTATTAGAGGATTCAGTAATAGGACTTCTGTTACTCATTGAAAAATTAAATTTCGCCACATCAGTTGGACCTAATGTTCCTTCGGTTTCTTTAACTTTAGGTGAGTTTTCTTCTTCCTTATGACCAAGTAGCAATTGCAGTAAAGTTACTTTTTGATGTGGATTCAATTTTGTATTTTTAGAAGGATCCTTTTCTTCTATGGTTTCCAGACATGGGACTTTTGATTCCCAACCATGAAACAAGGATTGAGTTAAATTGTCTAGAGAAGCTGTCTGCCCTGAATCTTGAGTATTTGTTTTTTGTTTGAAAGACAAATCTATAGGAAGACAATTTGAATGGGAACTCTCATCATCACTACTATCATCTTCTGTAAAACTTGGGTTGTTGTCAGAGTATTCATCAACAGTAGTTGGTGTACTGCTTTCCTCAAAAACACTGGACCTGTCATTTTGTTCATATCGTTTGGTCTGCTTAGTAGTACTATGATTTTTCAAGAGGTGCAAAAGTAAACTACTGTTAGTAGGTGGTTTCATATGACTTTTTTCTGTTTTGTAGTTTATAATTTTTGGAGATGAATGAATTATGCCCATATGACTTTGAAAATTTGTGATATTGCTTTTATTGGTTATTGTTTTGTTTGAACATCTTGCCTGACCATTCAAATGGCTTTCCATTCCTTTTGATAGTTTAAAATGACCAACATCTTTTGGAGGAACAGTTTCTTTTAATCTTGCCATAGCAGAAAGTCTCTCACTTGCGATTTGATTGGCATTTTGTGCTTTTAGAGCATGTTCCCTGGAATACTGCTGCAAGTGTGCTTCACTTGAAAGAAGCAAAGCAAGTTGGCTGCAGGCAACACTTGGCTTAGGGGATGCAGCAGGACTAGATCTTTTTTCTACCATGCTTGCAACAGCTTGTAATCTTGCAGCACAAGAAAGTGATTCATTCATTGCTTTTGAACCACTCTGTCCTGAATGTGTAGATTCTTTAAACCGATCTTGAACTAGGTTTGTTGTTAGCTCTGGCAGACCAGGCTCCAGTTTTTCATCTTTCAATTTGTTTTTCTTTAGCAAAGTCTTCAAGTGACTGGATGCAACACCATAGCACCTCAAGTCTTTCTCTACCTGCGAGGAATCATTGCTGAGCGAATATCCTTGCTCTTTAAGGCTCTGCCTAATTTGTTGTGACAAAGCAACACTCTGCAACCTAGAGCTAAATGACTGTAGTAAGGAAGCCAGCAATGTGCTATCTTGCTTGCTTTTAGGCACATTTTCAACCATGCCAGCCAACACCACTTCTTTTTTCTCATTTATATCCACAAGAGAATCAGACAATCGCCCTTTGTTTTCAGCATTCCAGTCTTCAGAAGACTGTAGCAATCTTGCCTTTTTATGATGCAACATGCCAGAATTTCTATATGTATGCGTGTTAGGTACACCATCTCTCTGACAGCTGGGAGATGCATTTCCAGAAACACTGAAATTTTGATCTTCAGCATTACCAGTAGGCTTTTTGTCATCCACAGAACCCGAACCTCCGGCTGTCTGATGCATTAGTAATCCCTCTAAGTAAGTTAGAACAATGGAATCCTGGTGCATCTCAGAGACAAGATCTTCTCCATGAGTCATGTTCAATACAAGTATCCACAAAAGCTCTCTTTTTATTCTACTTAGGATCTAGTGTATTATATGTGAACTGAAATTTAGCTCAACAAATAAATGTATACATTTTTTCCAAATCTGATGCAAGACAGATGCAATAATCTTTTGCAGGTCTTTCCATTAAGTATTTGTAGAAGAGGCAATGTTCCATTTTCTCTGTTTTAATATACACCATTTATGATGTCAAGGGACTATTTAAAATATGGTGCCAGGTTAGAAATGTTTTTTTAGGGATTGACAATATTGTTTTCCATCTTCTTTCATCATATTACAAACACTGGATTCCTGTAAAATAAAAAGAAATAAAATATGAAGCCAAATCAGAAAATAAATTACGTTTCATACAAACAGGTGTATTTCAAGATTCTATGTACAATTTCAGGTAAACCTTCCCAGGGTGGATAAAAATCAATGATTTTTTTAAAAAAATCAAAAAAATCAGATTTTTTTGATTTAAATCGGATTTTTTTGATTTTTATCGAATTTATTTTAATAAAAAACTTTTGGGGTAAAAATCTATTGTAAGATAGTTTTCTATTTAAGATACATAAATAATTTAGTTTATTCAGCATGAAATGGAGCTTAATTATGTAGCATGAGGCTGTATATTCTGCAACACTGGGACTATCGGTGAGTCAACAGTGGGTCAAAGGAGTAGCAGAGATGACAGTTGCTCTTTAAAAATTATGATTTAAATCGAGTTGATTTAAATCAAGCCTTTTTACTAGTGATTTAAATCATGATTTAAATTGTGATTTAAATCAACTTGATTTAAATCAAATCCACCCTGAACCTTCCTATATAATTTTATTATCTTTCATTTCATTTTGAAGAGCACTGAAAGCTGCAATAGCTCTGGAATGCAATTGTGTGGGCAACTGATGAGTGGTTCCATAGTCCTAATAAATCGATCAATACTCTTTAAAAAAAATATTGATAAGTATTTCTATTAGATTGATGAGAAATTTAGAAAAGTTGTAGATTGACCATTTATACAAGTTTGGAAATGATAATACTTCTAGTTTTTTGATTAATAGGTTTTGTAGGTATATAATAATAATTCTGTGAAGTTCAAAGAAAGTTATGGGTTTCTTTTTTTAATGGATCATTATTCCACAAATAAATAAGTAATAAACAAGACATGGTAGAAGTAGACATAACAGCAATACATGCAAAGTAAACTTTCACTTTTGGGGAAAGAGAAATAACATATGAAGTAGCATGCTTAATAGTCATAATGCAGGTAGTATCAATTTATGGCTGATTGCTTAATGACCATTCAAAATTATGATGGTCTCAGAACAAGTTATTATTATTATTATTATTTATTTATTTGCCGCCCATTTCACCACAAGGTGACTCCGGACAGTTTACAATGTTAAAAAGAATCAAACATAGAAAAACATGTATGTAAGAACAATAAAACAGTATAAAAATACAAATTATCAACTGTAACTAAAAGATGGGGAAGGAAGGGATTAGGATGAGTGGGTGGGGGAGATGGGCTCTGTTACTAATTTATCAACCACCTCCAGTATGATGCTTCTTCAGTTTTTTATGGCTTGTAAAGCACTTCTGGCCATCATAAAATGTTGTGCACCTCCACCCTATGGTAATCTGACCATATTTTTTGACTGGTTGCAGGATTCTGTGGTGACGTGGCTGCAATTTGCAACTTTTTTTTGTTGTTTCTGACATTTTTTTGCCAGTTTCCAGCAAAAGAAAAAAAGCCATTTGTAAAAATATGTTTGCAATTACAACTGTGATATTCATTTAATGACCATAGATTTGCTTAACTATTGCAGTGATTTGCTTAACAACCACCACAAAAAATGTAAAATCAGGTCCAGTCATGTGGGTGCCTTGATTTACAACTTAATAACTTATACCTGGAAATCAAGTCACAACTGTGGTCATAAATCAAGGACTACCTGTAGATGCTGGGGTGAGGGAATTCATGAGAAATGAAAGACATTTAAGCTTTTTAAGGTACTCGAAGAAAGTTAACTACTATTCACTCTCCCATGTGGGAATTAATTAGATTGTTGGATGAAGCATTAATTGGGCTTCCAAACTCTAGGCAGTTTAGAGGAAATCATCAATGTGCCTAATTTTAAAAAATTATATTAGAAAGAAAAAAAGATACCCAACTGCAAGAAATCAATGGGAATGCTAGGAAACAGATTTTTGTAAAATTCTCCATATTAAGAATTTTTTTTCCACAGGAAGAAAAAAATATCTGTACTCTCATCACAGATCCTCAAACTTTACTAATTGTAGGAAAAACAGTTTCAAAAATAGTAAAAAATAGTAAAATCCTAATTTTAACTTAAATTACTACAAATAGAACTCTAGGTCTGTCATGAACAAATGTTCTATTCATTAATTATTGTATTAAAATTATAATTACAATTGTATACAGATATGTAATGCCAACAGAACATACAGATATGTAATGCCAACAGAAGATATATCTAATCCATCATAGATGAAACATATTATAATGTCATCACTATTAGCTATAATAAAGTCCATTCTTAAATATAATTGCATATTATTATGCTACTGTACATATAATAGTATAATAAATGTAGTAGCATAATAAATGGTTCAAACAATACGGGATAAATTATAATTATATGGAGCATAATAATATGCTTACTTCCACTTTAAAACTGTGTTTTCTAAAATGTTTTATAGATGGCATATGCCCCCTGAGAAACTGGCAAAAATGTTTAAAGATAAATCAGCTAAATGTTGAAAATGTCACCAGTTACCAGGATCTTATTATCATATATGATGGACATGTCCAGAAGCTAAAAACTATTGGAATAAAATTAAGACATGGTTGGAAGAAATGATACAACAACGTATTGATTTAAAACCAGAGCTGTTCCTACTGGGTATCCATCCAGAGAAAATTAGCAAAGAAACTATTTATTTGATTATACATGTAATAACAGCTACAAGGATTGTTTTTGCAGAAAATTGGAAAGCAGAGAAAATACCTTTGGAAGGAGAAGTAATTTAAAAAAAATTTAGACTGTGCAGAAATGAATAGATTAACTTTGATGATCAAAGAAAGAGAGGATTTAGAATATTTTAAGATATGGGGTCAATTTTACCATTGGTTAGAAAAGAGATATAGATAAGCAAACTAATAGTTATGTAAGAAAATGGTATAATTAGAATACTGAACTTTTGGAGAAATGCTGTAATAGATTTGGTGAAAATGAAGACAGAAGAAACAACAAAAAGATGAAGCCATGAAGAAAACACTGAGATGTCGCATGGAAGGAATACTGATGTATTAAATGTTTTTTTGTGTATAATTTTTTTTAAAAAAAGTTGTGTTTTCTAGTACAAGAAAGATACAAAATTTAGTAAGTAATCAGAATTGAAAGAATATATAATTAGAATGAGCCTACTTAAACATTTAAGCACTTTTGGTCAGACAGTGGACAACAGGAGAGCCTGGCATACTATATACCGGGGGTATATAGTATGCCACAGCCCACTACCGGGCTTTGAGACGTTCAGAATCGGGCCACAGAATTGGCAGGCAAGCATGTGCACATCCCCACTTGCATGAGTAATAAGCAAGCACCTGCACATTTATTCCATTGTGCAAGCTGCCAATGCACATGCCTGCCACTCACATGGAATTATCCTTCCCCTCTCCGCCAGTCCATGAAGCCAAAAAGGTTGGGGAATGCCACAGAGTTGTGAAAAGTTGGATACAATTTAGCAACTAAACAACAACACTTAAGCAATACCTAACTTAAAAGCAAACAAGAGAGACTAAAGTTGAAAAAGGTTCTTAATTACTATACTGTTTTTTAAAAAATGTATCAATTTATTAGAGCTTAATGGTAGCCTTGTGATTTTAAGTTGTCTAAATCTGAAAGAACCCCTTTATCTATATTTAGATTTTGAAATTATCTTTGTTTCCTTAAAAAAAAAAAGCCAAATGCTCAATATTCAGCTGGATAGTTCAATAAAGATGTGTTCTCAATTTTACTTGGCTTCCTTGAAAATCATTTATGAGTAGATGTTGTGCACCTAAGGTTCATTAATTAGAGGATTATTTTTATACTATAATTTTTGTCTTGTTCTCAACAGTCAGCCTGTTTTGATCTCTTTAACACCTAGACATAACATATTATTTACCCGTATTTTTCGGAGTATAAAATGCCCCTTAGTTTTTGGGGAGAAAATGGGGGAGGGATTCTGCCTCTGCCTACCAGGTATTCATCTGGCTAGCATCCTTAGCCTTGACAGCTTCAGCACATTAGTTTGCTGGTTCTGAGCGGGCTGATAAGCTGCTTCAAAAGCAGAGTTGATCATCAGAGGGAGCTCCAGTGAGTAAAGCAGGCGAAGCATGGAAGTGGTAAGACAAGGCAGCAGCTGTTCCGGGTTGCCATTTTGGGCTCTGTGCCTCGTGTTTTCAGCCTCCAAACACTCCATTTGAGAGGCATTTATTGCTGTGGGGATCACCAAAGCACATCACTGCCGATCGCCGCCCAAATATGCGACACATAGAGGCCAAAAATGGCGCATGTGGAGGCCTAAAATGTGATGCACAGAGGCCGAAAATGTGATGCATGGAGGCGGTGATCAGCAGCGATGTGCTTTGGCGATTCCCGCAGCCTTGAACAGCTCTCAAACAGAGTGTTTGTAGGCTGAAAACGTGAGGCATGGAGCCCAAAAATGCAAGCCATTGTCTCTGGCAATCTCTGCAGCCAGAAAGGGGACACGTGGAGGCCGAAGGGTGGGGGCCAGCAGGTGGGCGGGGCTACATTGAGTATAAAACACACCCAAATTTTCAGGGGGGGAAGTGCGTCTCACACTCTGAAAAATACAGTATATTCTAAAAACTTCAACAAGTTATTAAAAGGTTTTTATGGGAAAGATAAACATCTTAATTTTATCTTAATTATTACTAAATTGATCATGGAAATTACAACATTCCTGATTTTTAGTTTTACCATTTTGAATTCCATTTCTATTTTTTAGTTGTTTTGTCATAATGTTACTGTATTTACAGCATTATAGTCTATAAGGAATATTTGGAAGGAAGTGTAATTCTGACTTTTATTTACATGATAATCTTATAGTATAAGAAACTTTGAATCCTCACAGGGGGATGTTTTATGGTAAAATTCATGAACTAGTAGGAATGAAATACTTTAGATCACCTAATGGGCAAACAAGTTTGAGATTTTTATTTATCACAAGAGCAATTTGGAAAATCCAAAACCAAATGAAAGTGTATACAAATAAAG